GAAGGGGGATATGGTGGGAGGCTAGGAGGGGAAAGGAATGAGGATGGAGAGGGAGGTGGGTTGGAGGATGAGGGGAGGGGATAGAGGGGAGGGGATGGCATGAGCCACATAATAATGGGACAGGGACATGGGGTAAGATGGAATGAGGAAGGGGAAGGACAGTGGGCAGTGATGAGAAAGGAAGTGTGACATGGGTATGGGAAGGATGGCATGAGGGAACCCAGGACTGATGCTGGCTCTTCAGATCTGAGGGCTTTCACTCCCCTTCCTCCTGACTCCTGGGTGCCCAGGCTGTGGGTGGCTGTGCTTCTTCCTATTCCAGTTTTGTCTCTTTTGCCTCCCCCAGCCTTGCCTATGCCAACACGGAGGCAGAGTTTAGTCAGCAGCTCTTACCTGGCCCCAGCTAATGTTAAAATGTAGGCTTGGACCTTAAGGGCTGCAGGGTTGTGCCCTTATGTGTTGATGGCTTGAACTTTATTATCTGCCTGGATTGCTATTACTGCCCTCTGTCCCATCGTACTGGGCATCAGTACATAGTGGCATAGTCTGTAAGAATGTGGACCCTAGAGTCAGACAATGACTGTGTGAGGCCACTTCCACATCTGTGCCTCATTTTGTCTTTTCTAAATGGAGACTGGCAACGGCAGTACTTCACAGTGTTGTTGTAAGGGTTAATTAAGGTAATACACGTAATGTACTCAGTTCTGAACTTAACATGTAGTTAGTGCTTAACCAAGTCAACTATTATTCTGTGTTCACAGATATCTAGGTGTGTGAGTGTATCTATAATGTGTGAATCTGGGAGTTATTTGTACTATTGTATTGGTAATTCAATTTGTGAGTGAGAGTATATCTGTATGATTATTTTTGTATGGTAGTATATCTAGCTCTGTATTCTTTGCTATGGGTATGTGATTTTGTGTCAGGGTACATATGTGATTAAGTGGCTGTGGAGGCATGTGTCTCTATGACAAAGAGTGGGTGAAGCATGTGGTTACCGAGATGCTGATACCATGTCTGCCAGTATATGCATGTATCTGTGATCCAAACACCCCCGCTCACTCTTCCTCCCTTTAGAGACGTCATAATCCTAGGTGTCCCTCATTTCCTCACCTTGAGGGAACCGGAACTTGTGGGCAGGGGTGGGGGTGGGTGCCAGTGAGGAGGTGTTTAGAGAGGAGCCTATGTTCCCTCCCAGACTGTATATGGGAGGCGGAACCCCCTATTTTGCATACATTTCAAAGCCTCCAGAGGAAGTGCTCCCTCCCTTTGGTCTGTTCTCAGTTCCCTGTCTTGTCACCATGGCAGCAGTTGCCAGGGGCTGCCATGGTTGCTAAGATCTGGATGTGGGAGGCTGCCAAGCACTGTTGCCAGTAGAAACAGAGAATCCTGGTGGGGTGTGGGGGGGGAAACTATCCCCACAGTTGCCAGCTCTGTTCAGTGACAGGACTGGCCTTTGGTCCTGCTCTTTCCCCAAATTGTACCTATGATTTCTATGTGATAGTAAACTGGCTGCGGGGGGTGGGGGTGGGTTACAGGAAGCTGGAACTGGAATTCCACTATTTGAAAAGAAAGGGCCTGTTACCATCTTTAAAATTAGCAAGTCCTTAGAAATTAGTGACTGCCTCATTCTGTCCCCCTGTCCCTCATTCCTCTCCCCTGGAAAGCATTCTTGCTTGAATTCTCTGTTGACTGGGTGCTTATCATCTGATGTTTCCTCCTGGGCATAAGAATGCTGCACTGACTCATTACCTTGGATGTAGACTTACTCCTTGTAGTGAGACTCTTAGTACCTCTCCCAATTCATACTTCATACTGACACCTGAGCCAAAGTTTTGGTCCCACATTGGTTACAGCCTGAGACATTAACTCTGATGATAGTCCAGGATGAGACAGTACCCCAAATCCAGTGTAAGTCTAAACCCTTTTCTTAGACATGCTGAAATCTAATTTTGATTCCAGATAACTTGAACTCATTCTTAGGGTCATTCCGATCCTGCACACTGTCTGAGCACTGACCAGGGATCTGACTTCCTGGTACTTTCAGGTTCTGAAACTGTACTGATCAGTACCATAGCATTTAAAGGGGCTATTTTTGGCTTTGAGATGAGATAACAGTGCTAGGAATGACCAGGAGAGGGCGTGCAGCATCAGATTCTAGAGGCAAGCTTCCAAGACTCCACCTGTGAACTAAAGAACAACAAAAATAAATAAAAAATTTAAAAAAGAAGTTTTCAAGTTTTTGATGCCATGTGACAATGTCTATGGGTTCTTAAAGTTATGGATATACTTCTTCCATCTCAGTTGGCTCAATCTGGGCACGTGCCAAAAGTTATCTTAATGGTTCACCGGCATGTCAGGTCTCAGAAAGACTTAATACCTGGTAAGCTATCTCCCTCCTAAATAAGCATCTTCTGTCATGTGCTTACACAGCTTCACTGCCTCTTCACAGACTCTTTAGGTGCTAAGAGTCTGATTATAAGGAGTCAGTCTGCATCCAAGGTAATGAGTCAATGCAACATTCCTGGTATCCAATTATCTTTTGTCCCACTGAGGATAAATCTGCCTTTCCATAGTGTCCACCTTTTGTCTTAGTTCTTGGGACTATATCATCAACTTTATTGGCCTATCTACCAGACATCTATCTGTCACACATTTGCATGCCTCATGTCTGCCCCTTTCCAGGGCTTGTGTCTTCATGGATTCCTCTTCTACCTTATTCAGCTCTAACCACTAGGTCCATGTTCCTCTTCATACGTTTTAGTTTGTATTACCTGGCTCTGATCAGCTTTTTAATTTTTTTGTAGTTGTATATGGACAGCATACCTTTATTTTATTTGTTTATTTTTATGTGGTGCTGAGGATTGAACCCAGTGCCTCACATATATATGCTAGGCAAAAGTTCTGCCATGGAGCTACAGCCCTAACCCCTCTGATTAGCTTTTTTCAGGAGTATTGATATAGTGTATAAGTGAGCCAGCCTGCCTCCCTTCTCTGACTGTGAACTTCTTTCTATGTAGCTTTAGATTACATTGATTCATTTTTTGGTAGCCACCTCATATTGTTGCCACCTCATTTGGTTCACTTGTATCAAGACCACAAGCTCTATTTTCCCCTGAGCTGCTAAATTACTTCCTGCCCATTTGTACCTGTTTTGATTTTGAAAAACTAAAGATACTTGAAATAAATATAACACATTTGACAACAAATTTTGTATTTTAGGCTAATCTTTGAGCTTTGAAGTCGCTGCACTTGATGTTTACTTAAAGATGGGACAAAGAAGGATTGAAGGTCCTCAGCTGGCTTGGCTGTGACTTCAGCACTTTGGACAGAGGCCACTGGCAGTACCCCCCAGCTATGCCTGGGACTGTGGGAGGGTGGAAGATGACATACTTAGTTTCAGAGGAAGCATAAATCATTGCTGCTCACTCAATGCCTTAGAATGTTTAAAGCTCTCTCCTTTTACCAATTTCACTCTGTTCTCAACTACCAACCAATTTAGGAGGCAGACAGGACAGGGATTATTTTCTGGATTTTTACAGCAAGGCCAAACTCCAAGCACCCTTGGAAAGCATGATGGGGTGTAGAGGGCACACTAGTTACTCCATGTTTATTAAATTTAGCAGCCACTGTTTCCCTTTGGGGGATGAATTTCCTTAGGGATGGAAGAGTGCACCTGAGCCAGAGCAGGACAAGGTGGGTAGAGGTTTGTGTGGAGCAATTGGCAGTAGATAGGAGGAACAGTCTTGGAGGGTCTAAATCTCTAGCCAGGATTGCTGGACTGAGGATGGAGAAACCTTTTTCTGGCCCACAGATACTCAATGTTTATGCCTCCATTTCTGTCCTGATATTCAGCTTCATTGAGTCTGGAGACAAGAAGAGGTTTGTGTGATGGTATTAACTTACCTTTGAGTCTGATGGACAATTTTCTCCATAGGTGCAGGAAGAGAGATATGGGAGCCCAATGAGTGAGTGGGATGAGTTGTGCAGGTGGAGAGAAATCTGTAACGTAACTACAGCCTGGTTACCTGTTTAGGTCTATTCCCAGACACAGAAGGGGTATGTCCTAGCCCCCTCTACAGTCATTCCTTTTAGGTGTACTTTGATAGGCAGTACAATAAAGTGGCTAAGAACATGGGCACTGAGGACTGACTACTTGGTTCCTCCACTTCCTAGCTGTGTGATTATGCAAACTTGAGAAATGCAAACTGTTCATATTTCTCATTTGTAACACAAACCTCACAGGGTCTGTTGTTGTTTTGTGGTGCTGGGGATGGAACCCAGGGATTTGAGCTTGCTAGGAAAGTATTATACCACCTTACTCCCCACACAGGGTAGTTTTGAAGATGAATGTGAAGCACTTAGGACTCTCCAGTGCATAATACATATTAAAAATGTTAGCAATTGCTTGTTCTTGGGACTTCTGTGGCTTTGGAGGTAGTGTCAGCATCTTATCCACAGCGTAGAGAAGCTGAGGGACTGGCTTTTCTAACCAGGTAAAGGGATGAATGGGGATTTCATAGTCCTCCAAATGCCTCTATAAACCTTAATTTTCCTAATTCTATCATATTACACTAAAACAGTTTGTAAAAGTAGGAAGGAATCTATCAGGCTAGGGAGGTCCCAGAAATTCAGGAGAAAACAGCCAACTAGCTTCCAAATTTTGTAGTTCAGCAGGAACTGGAAGAGTGTCTAAAATGAACCTTTGGTAAGGAGGGGGACAATATATAGCCCACAGGCTGGAAGCCCTTATTACTTCTTACTAAGGCTCTCCCCTTCGGTACTCCCTGCTGCATTTCCCTTCTGTGTCTGTATGTGTGGTGCTCCTATACACACCCTCATTATTCGATTCTTGGGAAAGCCAGGGCCAGGAAATCTCTAGAAAGAGAGCCACAGTTATCTTTTCCCTAGACCCAGGAACTGGTCAATGATGGGAAACCACAGAGAAATAGCCTGCCCATTTCGAGGTTCCCCAAACAACAGGAATCAAGAAACTGGAATAGCATCACATTTTCTTTATTATAGTTTCCACTGTGCCCAGCTTCTAGGTGCTCCTTCTTGGAGTGCTGTGAAGGCTAAGCCATGGAAGGAACATGCAGCTATAGATGGGAAGACAGGGCTTGGGATGGTCTCCCTTAGCTTACTGTCAAGTTACCTTCTGCAGAAGAGTAAATGGGAAAGGCATGAGGGACCAGAGGGCACTGGATCCTTCACTGTTACTCAGGGGCTCTCAGAGATCCCTCTCACAGCCTATGTTTGACTGGGAGACAGATCAAGGACATCCCTAACAGCTGGAGCTAAGCTTGAAGGCCTTTGTTCATCATGGATATGGGAAGGCCCACCCAGTGCTATACAAACTGAAATGTGGTTGGGCTTCTTAATCATTGGTCCAGATGAGACCTGGCCCCCTCTCCATGCTGTGGATCATTGGGGAGTGTAGCCCAGAGGGAAACAGTTTTTCCTTAGTGCTGATTGGGACTAGTGGAAATTCTATAAACTGATTATTTTCTTTTCAAGATTGGCAAAAATAGTGGCAGCAGGAAAACAACATCAGGGAAAATGCCCAGCTCCATTCTACCCTAGGGTTGAACTGTTGGGAACACAATGCACTGATAGGGCCCACTCAGGAAATCTCCATTGTCTGGGCTGCAGCCTGGGACTGAGAGAGATATCCTGGGAAAATTCAAGCTAACTGGCAGGAGAAAGTAGCAATTTTATTCCACTGTAAATAGAATACAAAGGGACTTCAGTTACAAATACTGCCAGGATGACCTGAAATTCTGGCAGAGATTGTCCTGCCGTTTAGCGGCAAATTCAGAAGAACAACCATGTGATGCATAATGACATTTCAACCAACAATGGACTGCATATGGTCCTGTAAGACTATATTGCCTAGTAATGCCATAGACATTTTGGTTTGTGTAAATATATGCTATGATATTTGCATTGTGAACAGATGGCCTAATGGTACAGTTCTCAGAATGGATTCCCACTGTTAAGCAACACATGACTGTGTACATCTGCCTTTACTCTGCTGCTTTGAAGGAGACATACCTGCAGGAATATTGTGGCCTGCTGTCAGTTCTCAGACTTGCCTAGAGGTTACTCTTGGCTATGGGGTGGTCATGGCCTGACCTGGGCCCTGCTAGATAGATTCTTCTGAGCCTCTCTTTTGGTGTTAGGGTTTCCTGACACCACTCTTTCCAAAGGTGTGATGCCTGCAATAGTTGAAGTTGTGCTTTGGGCTAAGAGGCCTGGGTACAACCCTGGAGCTCCCTTCCCAGTGAGGTACCCTCTTCCCAGGCAGTTTGATTCTGTGCTTTCCATACTGATGAGAGGAATTGAGGAGCCCTAAGATTCAGCCATTTAAGCAAAGCTGGGGTGACATCCCATAGGGAGCACCAGGGCCAGAAAGGTGGGTGTCTGTTCTGCTAGCCCATTGCTTGGGCTGAGGGTAGAAAGAGGCAATGCATTCGTGGCTTCTGCTGCAGTTGTCCTCAAAGAAAGAGCACTTGAGAGTTGGATCAATATCTAGGAGTGAGGAAACTGCTCCATCCCTGGGATACCATAGGGGCCACTGCTCAAATGTTCCACTGGGGAAGGCAAAACAGCAGACCTGGACAGTCACTTCCTCAGTGACCCTCAGTATCATCCAGATGCCCTTTTATTTGAATAAAAGGGTAGAGGACAGCTGTGTGAAAAACAGGCTTAGGTTAAGTGGTCTTCAGGGGAGCATATGTGTAACTCATGCCTCCCATGGCTGGTGTCTGGGTGGGTGGTGCTTGGGGAAAGCACTGGTCTCAATTTTCAGCAGACAAGAAGAAAAGGCTGAAACATTCTCTCATTCCCTAATTAGAGCCAGACACTATTTTTTATACTTGGCAGAATTTCAGACAATCACAGTGATGGAAATCTTGAAGAGGGAATGGGCCTTACAGAGGGTCTCTAGGGATTAGGACACTCCAAAGGGAAATTCTGGACAGGGGGATTGGGATGGAGCTTCTGCAACTCTGGACTGAAGAACAATGGACCCTTCCTTTGGTACAAAGCTAGATGTTTACACAGAAGAGACCAGCCTCCCTTGTGTGATTTTTCTGCTTCCCAGAACTGTTGTGGATTTGAAACTCTATTCTTTGCTGGGGGCGGTGTTCCCTAGGCCCTCTGTAGCAGGCTCTTCACCAAGAAGCTTGCTGACTTCAGACAGGGAGAGGGGTGATTTTAAATCAGCTTTTTCCCATTTTGCAAGAACTCTGGGGCATGCTATGCAGGCCCTGAGACAGAGCAGCCTGGTCTGGCCCACAGTCTCTCACCACTCACTCATGGAGAGGTAGAAGCAGCAGCTCCAGAGCAATGAGCATCACCTTCATCTCTGAAGGATCAAGAAGCAAGAAGTTGGACTTTTAGTCTCTGTGTCAGATAAGGAGTCAGGAGAAAAAAAAAAAAAAAACTGTCCAGCTCCCAAAGCCCAGAGCTCGTCTCTACTCAAAATGTCTTGTCTGTGAGACCCAGCAGCCCAGGGCCACTGGTATAGAGGATGACTTGCCAGGAAAGTAAGAGCCCTTGTGTTTAACGTGCTTTAATCTTCTCAGTGAAAATTACCAAGTCTGGCAGCTTTGGATACAGTTCTTAGGTCCAGGAGTCATGTGTTTGCTTTCCTTTTTTAAAAATAAGACTGAATAATGGCCCCTCTGACTGATCAGTCCAGGGAGTATGGCTGATGAGTATTTACAGGGCTGTGAGTTTCAAAATGTTCAGGGCCATATATATACATTATTCTCCTGTTCATTTCAGTCCTAAAGAATCCATCCCCAGCAGTTTTTCACCCTGCTTCTAGCTCAAGCCATTCCTACAGAAGGAAGCTACACAGGGCTCTTACCAAGCCCCTGGTGGCAGCTTCCTGCTTTCTTCTGAGTATCTCAACACCAAGTGGTATTCCTTCTTCTGTAAGCACCCAATTTAGTACAAGTGCCATGGAGCTTCTGCATGACTAAACTCAATTCCCTCTAGAATAACTCTTGGTGGTCAGATCTGGCTATATCTAAGTAATTCAGTTGGCAACAGAAATCTAGAACCTAGACCCCAGGCCAAGGCTGACCCACACCACACACTGACTTGAGACTTGGGAAGAAGGGCTGAGGCTTGCAGGCCAAACTTGGTGCCCTTTTGGTAGGTTCTGCTTGTCTCTCAGAGTCCTCCCATGCCCAGGCCCCAGTATGGAGAGAATGACTGTAGAGAGCAGTGGGGAGAAGCAGCAACTGAGGCCACATCTCAGTGATGGGGAAAAGGAGAAACTTCTTCCTTCTATGAAGTTCTACTGGGACTTTCTCTGCTTGAGAGAGCTGAGATGCAAATCTTCATAGGCCCTAGTTTTCCCCTAACCTCATTGTCAGGATGGCTGAAAGAAGACCCTGCTCAGGACTACTGTAGCATTGCTCTCTCTTCGGCTGGGAAAGAAGCTGGCTCTGTTCTCCACACAAAGGCACACTTTTCTAGGGCTATGGTTGAGCTGGAACAATGGAAAAGAATGAGCCCTCTCCTTTCCTCTTCCCTGAAGACCTTGTCTTCATTGGTCTTTGTGGTAGCTGACTTGGGTGAGGCATTTAACACAGAGGGTTGTGATTCCTGCCAGCATATTTGTTCCATTCAGGTTCCTTGGGTTTTAGGCCATGTGCTAACAATCTGAAAAATGGGGGCCAGGAAGGCTCACATTGGGTTTTTACCATTCTGATAAAGACTTTTTTGGATTTGGATGACCTGGCTGTGAGATTCCTAGAATTCTGGGTCTCCGGGAGAGGCTGTCTCCCTCTTTTACAGCCAGGATCTCACAAGCAGTTACCTTATCTGTCTCAAAGAATTAGAATCTAAATAAATAATGGGTTAAACTGAAGTGGTAGTTTTGAACCATTTTTTCCATCTTCACCATACTCAGGGACATAACAGATACCTACTAGTAACATCGGCTCACCACAGAAGGGGTTTTCAATGTGGGCAGAGAGGGCCTCTCAGTATCCTCAGGAGGGAATGTGAATCTGATATGCTCCCTTGTTAATAATCACTTGGCCAGAGTTTTGCCTATTGGAAATCAGAACTGGACAATAGAAGAGATGAGTAGACACCTTTCATCCACACCAGGGGTTTCACAAAAGGACTCTGATCCTTTTTCAAATAAAAAGAACCAGCTTGACTGATATCCATGTGTGTGACTATATGTGCATGTGCACACTTGTATGAATATGGTGACAAGTTCAGTCTATGATGTGAGGACAGGGGACGGTCCAGGAGTGGATGCTGCCACAATTCTCAAGGATTTTCCCTGTGGCAATGTACTAACTGCCTCTGTTGTGAGGGGAATGGTGATTTCAATGCCATAAAGCTTAATGAAAAATTAAGATGCTGGCAGTGCCAATCCCCATGAGTCTCAGAGCCAGAATTTGGTGGAAGGAAGAGGAAAAGGGAAGAAGGGAGAAGATGCCAGTGCTCCTGAACCGAAACTTCTCTGTGCCATGCTATCCTGGGGGTTTCAGGTGAATGGCTGCACTATTAGGGCGAGCAGCCAAGATGTAGACAGCATTCTCTCGCAGGAAGGTGGGCCAGTCCACAGATCTGCAGTAGACATAAATAAAGAATAGGCTCATGAGGCTTGATGCAGAACCCAAAGGCTCACAAGACCTGATCGCAATGGGAGCATGGCTTAAGCTAGACAAAATTCAGGAAGCCAAGTCTCATGCCTCTCCTGTCTGACTGCGCTACCAAATCAGCAGATGGGCTGGCTGGGTCTAGAGAACTGGAGTCAAATGTGTACTCCTGGGGTCTGATGCCTGTGGAGGAGGCATTTGCTATTCTTCAGTAACTGTGGGTGATGCTCTCTCTTACTTATATATGTGTATTAGGGAGGGGAGGGTAGAGAAAGCTAGGTAAGGAGGTTCTACTCACCTGGACTCGTGCTCTGCAGGTAGTAGGGGCTTATCCTGACTTTTGCCACTGCTGCTGGCGGGGCTGCTGTCTGCTAGGGGACCCACGTGGCTGATACTGCTAGGCATAAGCACATGTGGTTAGGAGTAGAATAGTGAAAGGCCTGACTGCTCCCAAACTCTGGTGAACCCATGGCTCTGGATATGCCTCATCATGCTTTTCTGACATATGGCAACACAGTTCACCCTGTGAACTGGCCAACAGGAATAACAATCCTCTGCCTAATGCATAGGAGGATCCTCTCCCAGCTTTTGGTAGGACCAGCAGGAAGGTACCTTTCACACCAAGGGCCACTGGCATGGGAAAAAGAGAAGGAAGACTAAATGGGGGCAGAGACTGGAAAGGAGCAGACCTCACACCACAAGAAGGAACCTCTATGAGGCGTTTGCAGAACCAAGAGTGCTGGGCCCAGCGGCACTCTGCCTCACTGATGGTGTTCCCGCTGCCCCGTGCCAGGAAAGTGGCTCGGGCTCGTTCCCGCTCCTTGACTGTCAGAAGCCTCAACAGTGAATTCTGGGGAAGAAGAGACACATTAAGATCTTGGAGATGAAAATATCTTATAAACTGTCAAGCCACAGAGAATCCTACTCTCATTACCTAACCTTTACAATCTCCCTTGGAAGTTTCTAGAGCCTTTCTGGTAGAAGAAACATTTTTAGGGGAGCTCAGTGTAAACTAATCTTTCTGGGGCAGTTTCTCCAGCCTGGGCACTTATCATCTGTCACTGGATGGAACCTGAATACATTCCTGATATTGGTTCCTGCTCAGACAGTATCCAGTATTCCCCCAACCTGCCCAGAATGCTTTCCAGACCTCTGTCACCCAATATCCCATGGAAATTCATCCCAGCTGCCCCCTCACCTGGGGACGCAATTGCTGCAGAAGTAGTAAGGATTCATGGGACAAGAAGTCAGACCACTCTATGTGGCCACGATGTTCAGGGTCCATGGCTGCAAACTGGCGGGCTGCCTGCTGCTCTTGCTCGTCACTCAGTGCCCTGTCACTGTCCCCCCGCTTCGCTGCTTGGTGGCGGTAGCGAAGAAAGTCCTCCAGCGTCAGGGAGCAATCTGTGGGAGGCAGCTCTTTTTTGTTTGTTTTTTTTTCTGTATTTGGGATTGAATCCAGGGCCTCACACATACTAGGCAAATGCTCTACCACATCCTCAGCTTTTTTAAAATTTTGAGACAGGGTCTCACTAAGTTGTTCTGGATGGCCTCAAACCTGCAATAGTTTCTTCAGCTTCCGGAAGAGCTGGGATTACAGGTATGTACCACCATGCCTGGCCATAGGAGGCACCTCTTGCTGGTCATACCCACCCTTACTCAGCCTTGGGCATCTCCACTTATTTCTAGGATGCCCTTAGTGCCTCCCAGCCACAGGTCTTGTTAAGTCTTTGCTTCTCATAGCCAGGTTAGTTCAGGTTATGCTGGGGTGGGTGCCTCTGCTGGCCAACAACTCAGGAACAAGAACCCATTTACCTCCTATCTCCTGAATCCCAGAACACTCTATTCATGCATGGCTCATCCTAGAAAGGATGAAGAAGAAATTTGGCCCTTCTTCCTCCTGGTAGCACTGGCCAGCCTTACCAGGGATGACTTTACACTGCTGAAAGGTCTCTGTTAGGCTGTACATTTCTTCCTCAGTAAGCAGCAAGTTGAGATTGTCCTGAAAAAAAGAAAAGCTGAGTCAGTAGCCATATAGGCCAGTAAGAAAGAAATGCTAAGGATCAAGAGGAACAGAAATAATATTTCAACTGGAAGACAATCCAAGATTACCTAATTCCTGCTTCCCATTATAAGTCAAAGAGACTGAGGTCCCAGGAAGGGGAAAGAACTTTCTCAGAGTTGGCTAACTCTGGGGCAGAATTTTCTTCAGAATCCAGATGTCCTGACTTTTACTGAGTCCCCTTTACTAAAATATTAGCTTTCAAATTATTTACTGAGCTAACCTCAGGGTTTCTTGAAAGTACCTTAGAAAGGTGCTTCAGGGGATAAAGAGGCTAGTGAGTGGGCACAGTTATAAATCCCTGTGCTCCTCAAAGAGAGCAGCTCCAACTTTATACATTTTATTTATCTAACTTCTGTGTTAGGTTGTGCCCAAAGAATATTTTAGCAAAAAAATTAATTCTAGCTCTGATCCTAGTGGATTATATTGCTTTAAATGAATCTGGAATGGTTTTAAAAGAGATGCCATTATGACAAAAGATTCCTAAAACTAAATGAATTTTTTTGTAGTGACACATAAGTTTTAATTCCAAACAAGCATTGATATTTTGTTTGTTATTATTATTATTTGGTATCAGGGATTAAACTCAGGGGTACTCAACCACTGAACCACATCCTCAGCTCTTTTTGTATTTTATGCAGAGACAGGGTCTCACTGAGTTGCTTAGTGCCTTGCTTTTCCTGAGGCTGGCTTTGAACTCATGATCTTCCTGCCTCCACCTCCTGAGCCTCTGGGATTCCAGGTGTGCACCACTGTACCTGACTTTTTTTTCTTTCTTTCTTTCTTTTTTTTTTTTTGGAGGGGGGTTACCGGGAATTGAACTCAGGGGCACTCGACCACTGAGCCATATCCCCAGCCCTATTTTGTATTTTATTTAGAGACAGGGTCTCACTGGGTTGCTTAGCACTTTGCTTTTGCTAAGGCTGGCTCTGAACTCACAATCCTCCTGTCTCAGCCTCTCTAGCCACTGGAATTACAGGCATGTGCCACTGTGCCCAGCTCTTGTTTGTTATTATTACTATCCAGTCCTTAAAATTATCTAAGATTTTAACAGAAGATCAATTTCCCCCTAAAATGCCAGCAAAGAACAGAAGCAGTTATTTCATTAATATTCATTTGTGGATTTCATAAAGAAACCAATTTTTCAATAAACACTTATTGAGCACCTCATATATGCTAGGCACCACCACAGTATGTATGCAACACTGTGAGACAGTCAGAGAGTATATGTGTGAGGGGGTAGGGTACAAGGAAAAGAGGTAGTTTGACTATAAAGCATCTGAAACTCCCTTGATTGAGCCTCTCAAGTTAGGTCTTTGTTCTAAAAGGAAAAGGAAATAGGGGAGGCACCAAAGGAGAGTGCCATGTTCAAATCTCTGATTGCTGTGGGAAAATGAATTAGATGGGCAAAGTCTGGAGGCATGCAAAGCAGTTAGGTGGCTATTGCAATAATATAGGTAAGAAATGATTGAGTGGTTAAACTCATACATGAGAAAAGAGAAGGGGGAGGCATGTGAGAGATATTAGAAGTAGAGTCAACAGAGCTTGGTGTTTTACTAGATATGAACTATGATGGAAAAAATGAGCGAGAACTAAATTGGGGGATGAGATAAGGAATGGAGGAAGGGCAAGTTTGGGTAGAAAGATGAGTTCATTTGAGGGCATGTTGAGCATGAAGTACTTGTGAGACATCAAGATGGATAAGTTTAAGCAATAGGAAATTTAAGTCTGGACACACAGATATGGGAGTTGTTAGTGTTTCAATAGGATGAAGTCACCCAAAGAGAAAGAAAGAGTATAGTGAGAAAAGGAGAGTGTGAGCAATAGAATAGTGTGAGACACACTAGCATTTAAGACTGAGACAAAAAACTAAAGATATTGAGAAAGAATTGTCTGAGAAAAAGGCTGCAGGAGAATCAATAGAGAAGATGGTACTGGAAACTAGGCAAAGAGAGCCATACAATGTAGGAGGTCATCTTAACAATGGTAATACAACTGTGGGGGGATTTTATTGAGTTTCTATCTTTTCTAGTTTCCATAGCTAATAATAATTCCCACAAACCATACTCAAACCCTAAGAAAGTGAAAGAAATAAGCACTAAATACTTCGAAAAGATCAAATAAGATGTCTGAGAAAAGGTTATGAGACTTGACAATGAAGAGATCACTGGTAATCTTAGGAAGAGGCAATTCAGCAGGTTGATGGATGAAGAAGTCAAGATTGAGGGTGACTCAGGAGCCACAAGGAGATGATGAAGTTCTTTTAAGAAGCCTGGCTGAGAGATAAGCAAAGAAGGGATGAACTTGGAAGAGGCCTTTGTAGAAAGCCTGGTGGAGAGTGGTGATAATGTTGGTAGGACTGTGACAGAAAATTAGGAAGGGAGCAGGGCATTCCTGGTAGGAGGCAGGAGACACCTTCAACTCAGTCCATGCCAGCAGCACACTGCAAAGCAGAGTTTCTGGGCAAAAAGAATGGGATCTCAAGGGGTGGAAAATGGTTCTAGGGAAGGTTATTCGTAGAGCTGGGTCTGCTGTGGCATACTCTAGTGGGGAAGGTATTTAAGTAGCTGGACATAACTGTTCTATAATCCATTTTATAGATAAGCCATAGAGAAAGAGAGAGTGGCAGATCTCTGTTTTCTTCTAGGCAGCAGGAAGAAGAGGGTAATCATCCAATGCTTCTTACTCTGAAATAAGAGAATAATGAAGATATATGCAGCGCAACGTATAAGAGTTGAACTCCATTCAGGTGTTGTGAGAAATGGACATGAATATGGCTTTTAATGGAAACCTCAGATTCTGTCCATTGAAAGTTGGAAGACATCTGTTATAATTTGCAAAGTTCTGAATCAATAGAGCTTTGTTATTTAATTCACATAACCACCACTTCAGAGATGAAGAACAAATGCTTCTAAGAGCCAGGTAGTTGGTCAAGTAAGGATAATAGGACTAAGGAGTTTTACTGTGATGGAATCTATTTCTTTTGGAAGCAAGTTGCTTAGGATCTCAGGTTGATGTTCAGGTGAGTACAATAAATGACAACTACAAACTATTAGAGGAAGCATTGCTTTAGGCAATATTACTTTGAGTAATTAATCTCATTCTATCAGTCCACCCCCAGCTCCATGGTTCTCAAAAAGGGGTAATTTTGCTTCCTCCAGGACACATTTTTGGTTGTCACAATGAGGGGCATGTGCTACTGGCATCTAGTGAAATAGAAGCCAGAGATTCTGTTAAACATCCTGTAGTGCATGAGTTCCCACAACAAAGAACACCCTAACCCCAAATGTTGAAAATACTGAAAACCCATCCTAGCTCTAGGACTCCTGCTTGTATGTACTATTAGAAAACCCTTCAGGTCACTGCCTAGAAACACGCATTATAAGATTGGGTTTTCAAAGAAAGTGCCAAGTCCTCTTCTATACAACAGCTCACTGTCCTTGCAGTCCAGGCTCACACAGTAGTGGCAGCTCCAGCCTGTTTCTGTGTGGGCCATCTCAGTCACTTCTGCTGCACTGTCTCCTTGGATGTAGCCCATACGGCGCAGGCAGCCATCATGGAAAACCCTGGTGCAGACCCGGCACGGGAAGAGGCTCTCAGCTGTCCAGACCTCACAAATATCACACATCTCATCGTTGACAATCTGGGAAAAGATGGCAGGAATGAATAGGAATGTGAAAGTTCAGGCAGCAAGATCCTATGGCCGTTAAGCATAGAGCTACCTGCATGGGGGCTGAGTCTCTGAAGCAGCCTAGAGGATTAGTTCCAACTGAAGTCCCTGTAAGGTGACAGAGCTGTCTTCCTGATAGACAAGAACCAGGAGACTCTTCTAGATGCTCAGACCTTTGTGACTATGTTTTTGAACAGGAATGCTATTAGCCTTTTTGGAGAGAACAATCCGTTATGAGTGATTGTCCAAGGCACTGCAGGACATTTAGTATCCTGATTTTGGCACCAAACACCAGTAGGAACTCCCAGTCATTGTGATATACCCTAACTCCCTCCTCCCAAATTTCTAAATGCTTCCTATAGGGATTAGTACTAAACTAATAATTTTATTCTTATGGAAAAAATTTAAAAAGATTGTTCTGAACTCAGCTCCATCTTTCTGTTTTTGAGTCTTATCTCAATCACACTCATAACTCATATCTCTTTGTCCTGCTCCTTGGTCATTAGAAAGATTAAGACTGAATAACTCTACTCTAACTAAACACTCACAGGCTCTCTGGGTTCCAAGCAGATATCTGGAGGCTTGTCATCATCCAGCTTCCGAGTGGGGCGGATGAAGGCAGGGGGTGTGAATCGACTGGTCCTGTCAAACTCCTCAGGCTCCACTCCACGTCCATCTCGTAGCCGTTCCCAGGCTGCACGGTTGACATTGCTCTCTTCCTGGACCACTGGGGTGTCTGCCTCTGCTTCTTTATCTTCCAGCACCTCCTGTACAGAGCCCTCTACAGTGCCACGACGAGACCCTGGTAGCTCACCTGTGCGTCGGAGGGAAGGCCTGTCCCGCAGCCCATCCTTGAAGGCAGACACAGCCAGGCTCACTTTCTGTACCTGTTCTACTGTCTGTCGCTTGGACATCAACACCCCCATGGTTCTGTGGACAAAAAGCAGAGGGAACAGACTCAGTCAATGGCTGAACATGTTAGGCCCATCTGTTTCAACTATTATTGAAGCACTGACTGTTATTAAATGGTGTTCCCTTTATAGACTCAGCAGCATTGAAGAATGGAGAGAGTATGTGTTAAGGAGTCAGAGGAGCCAGGTGTGGCGGCACATGCCTGGAATCTCAGCCACTCAGGAGGTTTAGATAGGAGGATTGAAAGTTCGAGGCTAGCCTCAGAAAATTAGGAAGGCCCTAAACAACTTAGAGACCCTGTCTCAAATAAAATATAAAAAGGGCTGGGGGCTGAAGTTGTAGCTCAGTGGTAGAGTGCTTGCCTAGCACGTATAAGGCACTGGGTTCAATTCTCGGCACCACATATAAATAAGTGAATAAAATAAAGTCTATAAACAACTAAATAATATTTTTTAAAAAAGAGCTGGGTATGTGACTCAGTGACTGAATACCCCTGGGTTCAATCCCTGGTACCAAGAAAAATAAGGATTAAAAAAAAGGTAGTCGGAGGATGTTTTACTTCTTACTGGCCCTTTTTTCGCGGCTGTCATAAGGATAATGTAATAAAATAGGTTAACAGTGCTTAGTAAAGTGGAAAGCACTCTAATATATGAAATAATATCTCCATCTTCCTTCATATGCTAAAGCAAATTTGTCCAGGAGTCCCAGTCCTCTATACTTTGAGATGATTGGAGACTTTAGAACTCAGGTTTCTCCCCTATTCCACAAGAAGACTCAAGGCTCAAAGCATACTTGTATAACATATTTCAGGCATTCAGACTGAAGAAAACTGCCTCCAATAAGTGTGGTACACAATCCATCCAGGGATAGTCCTCATGAAATGCTCACTATGTATTAACCAGTGATGAACTCCTATTGTTAGAAGACTCCTGAATCAGGTAGTCAGGAAACTCTGCCATCCCTATGCATGTGGTAAAGATCAAAAATGCTCCTCTGCCCTTCTAATTTGTAGCTGTCTTTTTGTCGATCTCTTTGTTTATCTCATAATTTGGTCTATTATAGGCTCTACAATATTTTCCACTCTTCTAAGACTTCATTAATGTCATTCCCACATTTTCAGCTTTTTTTCTGAACTGTTTTTTTTTCTCTCCATACCAGGAATTGAACCCAGGGGTGCTTAACCCCTGAGCCACATCCCTAGACCTTTTAATTTTTTATTTAGTGACAGTCTCACTAAGTTGCTTAGGGCCTCGCTAAATTGTTGAGCTGACTTTGAACTTGCAAACCTCCTGCCTCAGCTTCTTGAGTTGCTGGGATTACAGGTGTGCACCATTGTGCCCAGCTTTTTTCTGAACTGTGCAAGAAAGGTCCAAATCCTTTAAAAAAGAAATGTTATTTCTGACCTTCTCTGCAGGACAGTGTATAGCATTGGAAAGTAAGGACATGATATGGCACATTGCAAAGCTGGTCTGCCACCTCCTAGTCTAAGGAACCTTAGTGGAATTCAGCTGGAGAATACTTGTTCTAAGTGGAGCAGAGTCCATTTTAGCTTTGCCCTCAATCCATTATAATGGAGGCTTATTAAGTAGTATTAGGACAAGGCACAAACTGCTCATCATAGGAAACAGAAAATGGAGAACAACATTTTACCACTTGATCTATTTAATACCAAAATTCAAAGAAGTCAAACAAAACACTGGGAATATCTAAAAGAGGGTAAGCTCATAGTACTAGGGGTCACAGTGGACCTTAAGGGATGAGTAAGAAGTTCACTTGCTTGTTTGGGGAAAAAGGTAACAATAGGTAGGAGAGGAGGAAGCAATTAGAAGGCTATTGTCCAGACAAGACTTAGAGGGCTTAAACTGAAATTATGACAGTAGGATACCAAGTGTATTTATTACCATGGAAACAGAATTAAGGAAAGTTAGGGATAAATCACTGATTAGATAACTGATTAGATGAAGGATAAAGGAAGAGAATGTAGTTTAAATTGAGTAGTGAGAAGAGTGGTAGTATCAGTTACAGAAAGTAGGAAATAGTAAGTTGGATTCTGTGCAGGTTGAAATAAGGCTATCCCTGGGACATATAGGTGCCATCTTATTCCTGATTAAATTTTTTCAATGGCTTTCTACAGCTTTTAGGAAAGGTCCCCTAAATCTACCCCTTTACCATGGCCCGTGAGGCTCTGTGCAGTTTGACCTCTCTTCTTTATGTAATTTATTTTTATATATTTTTTAGCTGTAGATGGACACAATGCCTTTATTTTATTTATTTTTATGAGGTGCTGAGGATAAAATCTAGTGCCTCACATATGCTAGGTAAGCTCTCTACCACTGAGTCACAACCCCAGCCCCTCCCTTCTTTTTTTCTCTATGTTCCAATCATACTACCCTTTATTTGCCATGCTCCCTCTGTTTTGGAGAACCTTTGAATACCCTGTCCCATTAGTGCCTATTTATCTGTCCAGCTCAGCTCAAGTATGACTTCCCTAGGAAAGTCACTGCTGACTCCAGTCCAGCAGTGCTCACAGTGCCATACTCTTTGGCTGTAGGGCACTTCATCATTACATATTTAACAGGATGATTATCTGATCAATGTCAGCTTCCTCTATTATACTGCATTGTCTTGCAGAGTATCTAGCTCTACTGCCTAGCAAGGTGTCTGAACAGAATAGATGCTTGATAAAATAGTTCCCAATTAATTAATTCATTGTGGAGAAGTCTTGATTTTAAAAATAAAACCTTAATATATATTATATCTGATGACAGCCACATATTTTTCCCCGAAACACTGCTTATATGCATCAGTGATGCAGATTTCTACCCTGCCATCTATTGTTACCAAGGAAACCCATGAATTTATAAACTGACTGATAAAAAAGGAAAGACCTATCTCCCCCGTTTGTAAATGTGTAAAATTGAAAAATATAGATGAAGAATATTTACTTTGAATAAGAAATTCTCTTACAGAGTAGTCAGAGAAGTGGTAAAGATTTATTGAGCAAATTTAGGAAATCATGCTTCAGTGAACAATTAATAAATTGTGATTAAGAAATCCTTTTTTTCGGGGCTGGGACTGTAGCTCAGTGGTAGAGCTCTTGCCTAGCATGTGTGAGGTACTGGTTTGATCCTTAGCATCCACATAAAGAAACTAAACAAATAAAGGCATGCTGTATATCTACAACTATAAAAAAATAATAAAAGAAGAAATCCTTTTTCTTTCAATTGAAAACAACATTGGACATTAAAGAAATCGTTAATTTATGGTACAAGGGAAGTCTTAAACAACATGACAAACAGAGGTAGAAGTATAATTATTGATGTGGAAAGATTTTCAAAATATGTATTCGTAATGAATAAAGTAAGTTATAAAAATGCTATGATCTATCTATCTTTTTTTTTTTGATACTGAGGATTGAACCCAAGGTGTTTAACCACGGAGCCACATCCCCAGCTCTTTTTATATTTTGTTTAGAGACGGGGTCTTGCTAAGTTGCTGAGGCTGGCTTTGAACTCAAGATCCTCCTGCCTCAGCCTCCTGAGCCATTGGGATTACAGGCATGCGTCGCCACACCCAGCTTATGGTCTAAGTTTTTAAAGACTCCATGTACATTTTTAATCTTTTTGTTATTCTGTATTTTCTAATTTTCCTACATTGCACATTAGTCATATATATATATACATACACACACACACGTGTGTGTATGTGTGTGTGTGTATGTATGTATGTATAAAATACTAGGATTGGCATAAGTCTTATAATTGTTTAGATATGCTGTAATGTGACCCAGAACATGCTGCTTTATTGCTTAGGGCTTTGAGCAATAAAGACAGTGTTTGAAGCATATATTCTTAAGCATTTAGAATTCTCATGTTTTTTCCATATTTACAAGGCCAACTGACCTAATGAGGGTATACAGCCAGGTGGGGTGGGAGTGGAAAGGAGAGTATATATTAAGGTTTTTGCTGAGGCTTTGAACTGGGGGTTCTTGAAGAGGCTATGCCTACAGTCCTCAGACACTGCCCACTTGCCTCATGGGCAATGGCTGTGCTCTATGGCTAGGCAGGAAGGCAAGTCCCAACTTGCAGTGAAGGCATCTGAAGGGGAGAATGCAAAACTGATACTCAACCTTTTATTTCATATTTTCATTATGAGCAATTACATTTTCCAGAACCACTAGGTTTTCTTCAGAAACCTTAAGTGGTATGTTTTTCAAATCTCTGACCATGACTCAGAGAAAGAAATATATTTTATGTGGTGATCTATATATGCACATGTTTATAGAACTAAAACTGAACCCAAAGTTTTGTAGAACAATCGTACTTTTACTATATGTGATGCTCCCTGATATTGTCTGTCCTATTTAATTTATTCTCCTGATAATGACTTTCTGTAACACAGACTACAAAACAGCAGAGCTTGACAGTATCCTCTTGGTTTGGGGGGATGTACTGAATATACTAGCTCTCCAACAGGCAGGGGCAGCCTCCTCTCAGAAGTTTTAGGGAACAGTCATAGACCTATGTTTATTAGAAAGAAGGAATGGGTTGGGTTTGGGTGGCTGATTTCATGTACTACTAATAGATTTGAATTTGCAAATTGAAAAACCTAGCTTTAGGATCATTTAAAAATTTTTATTAAAGAATTACACATTTTTTTAAATTTAAAAATGGCCACCTATAAAGACAAGAGTATTAAGAAAGCTCTGTCCTGGACATGACTCATGCAAAATTAACAGTTTACTCAAGTTTGTCTTAAGAGTCTTTGTGGTTGGAGGGTCTAGAGGAGAGGAATAGCTACTAATATAGCTTTGACTAAAGAAAACTTGCTCTCTATGATAAGACATGAGAAAGACTTTATTGGCCTTTGCTGGCTTCAAAGAAAGAGGAAGGGGCCATGAGAGAAGAAATGCAGATGGATTCTAGAAGCTGGAAAAGGCAAGTAAACAGACTCACCCCTAGAGCCTTTGGAAAGAAATGCAGCTTTGATGATACCTTGATTTTATCCCAGTGGGACTGTGCTAGACTATTGACCTCCCAGAACTGTAAGATAACATTTGTGTTAAAAGAAAGGAAGGAAATAAAGAAGGGAGGGAAAGAAAGGGAGGGAGAGAAAAACCTACTATATACAAGAGGTTGGTCCTTTGACCTGTGGGCCTATGTAAAACAATATTTATTGGGGCATTTTAAAATCTCACTAGGGAAATTACTGAATAAACTGTGATACATTCAAACTATAAAAAAGTGAAAATTTATTTTAATTTTTAAATACAAAGACTAGAGCAATGACTCTCAAATGGTAAATTGTCTATATTCTGGGGCAGGTTGCAGGGATCTATATCAGAAACCACAGGAGGAATATGGAAGTGGGTTGAAACAGCAGATCAATTATAATATGTATTTGTATTTGCAAAACAGATATTAAAAGTCATCACTTTTTTGTGTAAAAGACTACAGAACAGCAGAACTTCATAGCATCCTCTAAGTTTTGGGGATATGCAGAAGGTACTAGCTCTTTAAATAATTGGGAGCAGCTTCCTCTCAGAAGTTATATCAGAAGTTTTAGGGAATAGCTATACAACTTATATTTATCAGAAAAAAAGGCACAGTTGGACTCGGGAGGCTGAGGCATAAGAATTTCAAATTCAAGGCCAGCCTAGCAACTTAGCAAGACCCTGTCTGAAAAAGAAAAGAAAAGAAAAAAAGAAGGCATGGGTTGAGAAAAAAGTTTAGAAAATACTTATCTGGGGATCTGGAATAAATAGACTAAGTTAACTTTTTCATGACTAATTCATTAGAGGAAAAGCAATTGCATGCATTTGGTTCTTATTGTTTTTTTTAAAGATGATATGAGAGTTGCCAGCCAATTAAGAGGGTTACTTTCTAAGTGAACAGACTCATTAATAGTGTATCAGCAAACTAACCACAGACACTTCCCAATACACTGTAGTGCTGTTTTAACCCACTGTCATTGTAAGGATACCATTATTGTCTTTAAGGATACCAAGACTGCTACCAAGCTAACCTAATTGATAATAGTGCCAGTGCAATGGTTTGGGGGAGTTTATACTTAATAAAATTTCCATGAAGATTGAACCTGACATCTACCAGCAAAACAACTAAACAAATATAAAAACAAAACAAAACAAACCACTCTTTAGCTTGACTGCAGACTTTTTTTTTTAAAGAGAGAGAGAGAGAGAGAGAGAGAGAGAGAGAGAGAGAGAGAGAGAGAGAGAGAATTTTTCATATTTATTTTTTAGTTCTCGGCAGACACATCTTTGTTGGTATGTGGTGCTGAGGATCGAACCCGGGCCGCTCGCATGCCAGGCGAGCGCGCTACCGCTTGAGCCACATCCCCAGCCCCGACTGCAGACTTTTTGATCACTACTATTTCTTTTACCTGAAATGGCTCAATTTTCTAGACTACATTATGCCTGTAGGGGTAGAACATGTAGAGCAGAACCATGAAAAGGAAATCATAAAAATCCAAACAAAAAAGTTTTTTTTGTTTTCTCATCATTTTGAACTGACGGTAAACCGTGAGGATGCAACAGAATCAAGACTTTAGAGTGAGCTAAATCCCTTACTGTTTAATGGAGAGGATTGAAACTATATATAAAAGACCCCTTGATTAAAAGTGAATGTGCTGAAATCGCCAAAATGTGCACCTGGGGTGTTTGATAAATTAACACAATCAGCTCTAATTTCTAGACAAACAAGTGGTACTGATTAGTGATGAGTAAAAACAAATGCCTGGTGAGAAAATCCTGGCCTCTCCTGTGCTGAAGAAATCCTAGGAAGAAGAGCAAGTGAAAAGGAAATCAAGTTGCCAGGATCCTATAAATTGTTCATAATGACTACTTTTTTGGCTGGTGGATGGAACTGAGATTTTCAGCTTCTTTAACAAGGATAAAAAGATGTTGCCCTAAGAATGATGTGACTATCTAAAATTTATGGTATAGGGATGTTTTTGAGAAAAATCTTGAGGAATAGGAGCAGGTGCTAGAAAATAACAGTGGGACAAGAAGGTAGAACAGGGCCATCTGACTACACGAACTAGAATAAATGAAAACAGCAACCACCAGAGTCTTTCTTTCAATAAGAAAAGGCTGTCTAGATGTGTTTGTCAGGCAGTAAGGCATATGTGGGCAGCCTGGGATGTGTGTGTGTGCAAGACACACCCATTTTCTGCAGAGTACCTACTTATAATGCAATGGTATTATTTATAAGGGTAAAGTTGTGGGAGTAAGGAGGAGGGATTGCTCCACAGCAGGAGCTGGTGGAGAAATCAGAAAGGCAAAGGCAGCTAGGGAACCTCTTTTCCCAGGAACTCTCTATAAAGCTTCTTAGCTGTGGAGATCTGAGGAGAAACCCTCCTAATAGGCAAGAGTCGCCTCATTCAGCATGCTAAATGTAAAGTATATTTACTTGTTTTAATCTGATTCTTGATATGGGAATGGCAACTGTTCAAAAGGTTCAAATGCAATTAAAAGGGATTTCTTGAGCTTATGAGGACTTCTCTGGGTAGGAACAAGACAAAGAATCTCTGGGGAGGTGGGAGGTGTGGAAACAGCCAAAGAGAATGATTAATCAAGAGGGAGAAAAGTTTGAATGGTTCCCTCTGCCTTCCACAGAGCATCTATTCTATAACTATTTTTGAATGAATGTTTCAGAGATGACTAGGCAACATAAGAAGTTTATTTGAGATCATGGTGTCAGTACCTTTCTCTTCATCAAAGTTGGCCAGATAACTGGTCAGACCAAATCTCTGGAACTCAATTCTAGAAACTGTGAAGTCAGTTCATCTCTTTATATTCACTCTGCTTTCCCAGAGGCAGAGCCTGAATGATGAGTCAGGACTTGAAGGGATGAGAACAGGTACCATATAGCAACTACAGGCGGTTTCTTTTACTACAAAGGAGAGCTATGAAATTTTGGGATTTAGCCAATTTCCACAACCACAGGATAAGACAAGAAAGACTCATATTACCAAAGTCAACAGTTCCATGAATTTATGCTGTGTCCTGTGGACAGTACCTGACCCACAGGAGAGTACCTGCCTTAAAGGCACAAGCAGGAAGCTTGAAAATCCATCTCCTCTGTCCCATTTTTTTT